GAATGCTATATTTAGGCCGAAAGAAACACAACGTCATCAGGAAAAAGGAAAATATTACAGATTTCCTTGACCCCATTTTTCAGTCATTTACTATCAGCTAACTCGGACCCCCGCTAATTCAATAGGGCTTTTGTTTCGCAATTTCTCAAGGTCGGGCACGGTCAGTAAATTGTGGGCGGTGACAATTCCTGTGGGGAAATATGTTAAGTGTGAAGCAAACTATCGCGAGGTACTTATAATCAGTGAATACAACTTAAATTTTATGAAAAAAAAGATACAATTCCACTAGAAACTAATAGGATATTTTTTAATGTTTCCGAATTTGTTATAATAGTGAGGCTGTCAGACTTAAAGCGTGACAATGGGAGAAGGATTTCCACTGTTCCTGTTTTCTTTTTTCACGTCGCTTTTGTGTAAGTATTGTGTGTCACCTTTCTTCGTTTATCATATGTTTGTCAGGCCCCTGAGTTGTACCTATCTGTATAATTTCATTGTCTATGCCTTACAGCTGACAATAAGCTACAATGCTAATCAAAAGGCAACCTTCAGGTCATATATTGCGAAGTCATCGAGGAAGAACATAAAAGCACATACAAATATCACACCACTGCAAAAATCGTCCCACTGAAGATCCGCGATGGGAGGAAGAGGGTTTAATGGTTTAAAGTCAGTAAGGGTTTCAAGAAAAATGCTAAAGAGACAGAAGTCCGTGCTTATAAATCACATTCATAGAAAATAGTTTGTTGTTACTTTGGAGAAGCGCCTCTATCTAAAACAGCGCCGTCTTGACCCCATCAGTCAAAGATAATTCCCATTGTTAGAATACACTAGTCCTTGAATCACTAGCTCTTTATCTCACATCAGTAAAATACTGAAAGGTATTTTTTAACTCGCAGACGTAAGCGTTCAGGCCAATTCCTCATGCCAACCGGATCAGATTACAATCAAAGATCCAAAAACTGGTTCAATTCAGTGTCAGGACTGTTTAAAATGTCCACCTGGCAAGGGTCTCTCAGTTAATTGCGGAGACGTAATAACCCCTTCAACACCTGTGCAGTGCAAGCCATGTGTGCTGGGAGAGACATATTCTGCTTCCTTCAAGGCCGGAGGTTGTGAGGACTGTGGAAATTGCGGTGAGTACCGCGAAACGACGAAAGCCTGTACGGTAACTTCCAAGGCCGTGTGTGGAAGGTGTAAGCCTGGCGCTTATGTAGAAGGCATGTTAGGACTGTGCAAGCCCTGCTCTCCGTGCTGTAATGATGGTAAAGATATCATTATACCTGAGTGTCAGGTTCCAGGTGTACCAAAAGGCATGCAGTGCAGCTACTTACGATCTAACAAGTGCAGCGCAGTCGTGACATCAAGTATTAGCACGGCGCCGTCAACGCTTCAACTAGATCAGTCCACGACCCAATGGCGGCCATCCTCTTTCATAAGGAGGACCGAAGTAAATTCTCCTTTAAGTGAGCAAGCCGTCAACCTGACTAGAGAGGCTTCACCAAATGTGGGCATCATAGCTGGTTGTTTTGTGGGTGGCCTTCTCATCGCGATCATCGCCATCGCGTGCCGCATAGTTATGCCTAAACGCCGGAAGGCCTTATCGATGAGGATTGGTGTGGTTACAGTGGAAGACGGAGCTGGTCGGGCGCAAAATTGCGAACAACGAAATGATCAAGAAGACAATCGGGAACAAACAGAGGGAAGAAGTTTTCTGCCAAACGGAGATCTGTATGAAGAGAGCCCACTTCCACATCCCTTTCAAGAGGAAGCTGGTGATAAAAGTCCGGAGAAAATAGGAGTGCAGGAGACCACGTCTCCTCTATCAGGCCAGAGCAGTTTAGGTGAATATATGAATTGTTATAATGATATTTTTTGTTTGTTTCTCTTTTTAAGAACAAATCACAAATCACCCTTATGCCTTAAAACCAGTCATACACCTAATCTCTATACCTAATCACACAATGGTACGGATCGCCAGAAAGGCAAAATCCGGCAGAAGCAAGAGCCTTCCAACTTTTTCGAAAGTAAATAGAAATTTCGCTTAACTATAATTTCGTTGGGGAAATTTTAGTGAAAGGGAAAACCATGGAGTGTGAGGATTCCAACCGACAAACTTGTCTTACTGTTCCATCTTAAGTTTAAGTTGAAATCATTTCAAAAACATTTGAAACCTCAAATTTTTAGAACAATTTCAAACCGAGCTGTAAACTAATGCATCTTGTCATATTTTTTTCTGTACCTTTAGATTCTAAATTTGACGGGTTTGTGAGGAAGCAGTGTACTGAATCGTTTAAAGTGAGAGCACACAGTCCCCCCAATTTTGTAACCAGCAAGACCACTATCACGATGTACAAAGACACCTATGAGAAGGTCACCACGGTTTGACGACAGTCATCAGCTCCTTTAAATGCAATTTTCCGTTAGTTTCTGCTCAGTAGTTTGCTGAGTTAGTGAAAGAGAAATCGGGACATTTTAACAACTTTGGTTCCTTCTTATCGTTTTAAGACGTGTGCAAGCCCCGATTCACCAACGTCACAAGCTATTACATGTAAAAAGGTTTAGAAATTAGTCGTTTGAGGCGTAACTCCGGCTACACTTCACTCTGTTGAAAACGTGAAAAAGCTGTACCACGCTTCCTAATCAAGTTACGGTTTATTCAATTGATTTTATGATTCTATTACAACGCTTCGGTTAACTCCCACTCACAGCTCTTAGCTTATTTGAAAAAGACATTAAAAACGTGTGGTAGTAAGCACGTGACACATACATGTTATGTAATAGACGAATGAAGTCACTCAAAATGTCAATCAAATTAAGACGAATTAACGTATCGTACGTCAATCTCCAACAACTCTCATAATGATGACTATTTTACTAATACTGCGCTCGTGCTCCCTTGGGTCGTCAATCAACACGGACAGGGTTTAATTGGGTCCTCGACATTACGTAGAACAAAAATTACATATCAAAACAGAATCGCTGAGCATAATAGCTCTTTTTTTAAGTATTTGTTTTTCTACGTGTGTGGAAGATTCATTTGCATAATTAGGCTAGCTGAAATAAATCTTTGAGAATTAAAAAATTGTGAAGTAATTACGCCTTGAATGGAGAAGAAAAAACCAAGCCTGCGATCATTTTACAAGTTTGCTTTGCGTCTCGTATCAGACTCAAAAAATTAGTTCCATTTTTATATCTTCCGCTAACTTAGTTTTTTCTTATTAAATACACGGCCGGTAACCTTCAAGCCCGATGCTTTATAGGATTAGCGTATTTGATTAACGATTACGGTGTTTATGATGATCGATGATGATATTTGTTTAGGTCGAAATTCTTTCTTTACGTTCATAAGCGGAACAAAAGAAGCGAGCCGGCAAGGGCGAAATTGAGTCATACATGTTTTTGTGTTATACATATGCTGTACCTTTTAATGGCTTAGCTCTCCTCCGGGTTCTTGGTAGATCAGTGGTTGAGCATCCAAGCGGGAAATCGGAAGGTTGAATGATCGATTCTCTAAATTAGAAATTCAGTCTCGCGCTTGGATAACATCTTTTTCCAAGACTTGGTTCTTGAGGTGCAGGTGCAAGGCCACAGTATGATCATGCATGGACTATAGGAGAACAGAATCAGCTCAAAAGAGCTACAACTGCTGAAAAATATATAAAGTCTGGCACTGCTGTTTAAATAATTTCTATCGATGAATAGCATGATGGATATTACACACACATCAATATGTCTTCGTTTGAGAAGGTAGGATGTCTTCGGACAGAACTAAGGAAAGCGCTAAAGTGGAAAGAGATAACGTTTCCATAGTTATTTTCATCAACAGATCTAGGAATTGTCATATGCTGGTCAGCGGTGAAGCGCGTTACATTGACCTCTTACCCAGACCGTCGCCGTTCATGTAAGCACGGGCTCAAACTTTGTATCCATGGTGTTCAATAGAGTTGATGCACTATATGTGTGTCTGGCTAAAACATAAGTTGTTGAATGTACAGCCGAGTATAAGGCAAAAATGCAACTCTCGTCATAGAAAACTTGCATACGATTAAATTACCAAGGGCTTTTTCAGCTCGGTGTTTCTTGCTCTTTTGGTGTGGCAAAATATTATAGGTAATTTTTAGAAGTTCCCGCACTACGTGTCGAGACAGTAGTTGTAGTTGTAGCCGTAGTTGTAAGGCCACGAACGGGTGCTTTTCTTGTCCTAAGATACGATCATTATGTTGTCAATACCTTTCAATAGGAATAAGCTATAAATGACACAGCTACGGATAAGTATATTTTCTTTCATTTTGAGGAGGTGCTTTGTAATTATTTGCAAGTTTACAGCTCGCTTACCATTTTTATGGAACTGTATTTGCATTTTCCGGTTTTACTAGTAAGCCATTGTAATATTTGACCCGTGAGAGTCTGGCGCGCGTAACAGAGTGAGTTAATGTCTGGTTTTGCCTGTCCTGAAGAGAGGCTCGTCACGTTTTTGTATACATTAAACGCAAAAAGACGAGGTCGTTGGTTCCTCTAAAAGTTCTATCGCATTCTTAACGTCTCCTCTAAGACTATGAGTCTCTCTGCCAGCTATTTTTTTTAATCTCACCTTAAGAGACAACACTGAAAAAATAGTTTATAAACAAAGTGATGGAACGTGATGGAACGCCGAAGGAAATAATTCTTGCATATTGCGTAGTAACATATACCAGCCGGGAGGGCTCCGGCACTCTGATGTATGCAATGCTGTAAATGAAATCGTTAGCTACAGATTCCAGTTTTCTCACTGTATTTGTATCATATATTTCTTCACTCTATTTCCTTTTAAGCAATTTTATCCCTCATTTGTTGAGATTTTTTATTGAAACTCTCGTCACGATATTTCGAGGTTAATTTTGGCTGTCGCTGCTCATGTATGCCGGAAACATGTACGTGCTAAAATGATGTGTTGGCGTCATCATAAAATATTTGGTTAGTACCAAGATTATGTAACAAGGAAGCAAATAGGTGCACGAAAAGCGGGTGGACCGTGAAGACCTAACTATAGAAAGAGCACTTTTGAAAAGTTACAGTGGTCTTGACTTGGTTGGGTTCTCGCGCAACTTTCTACATCCGTTAGCTAAAAAAGTAAGCTTTTTCTATTAGTTAGCATCCACCTTTACAAAGGCTGTTCGTGACTTATACCGTTCGTGTCGTTCGCGAATTATGCTGTTCGTGACTTATACGTAAGTCATTGAACATACACAACATTGTTCATTGTTGATCACGTATAAATCAGTTCAATAGGGGAGACTGCATATATGGTAAACTGATTTACTGTATAAATCACCTGATAATTTTCCTGTCGCAGAATTTGAGCGAGGCTGTAGACGTGGCCCTGGCAATTCAAGACTCTGCAAAGAAAGACAGAAAGGTAAGATAACACAATAAGATAAAGCGACATTAGAATGATCATTGGAATCTCGTAAAGCTTTTGTTAAGTTTTTTTTTAAATCGTTCGTAACCTGCCGTTTGTTCGTTACAACTTAGTTTCGTTTAATTCGCTGTTTAAACTACTGCTTATGGCTTCACACTGATAAGAAAAATAATATTTGGGAAAGCCGATCAGAAACGCCTTTGTGACGTTTTCAGACTTTAAATACAAGTGATGAATAAGCAAATACCTATCTAACCCGCCAACGCATTTTTCCAAAAGGGTTTTAACTGGCTCTGTGAGTATATAACTACGTATAACCAAAGCGGTTTGTATTCCCAATGCAAGCAGACGGCCGGGGGAGATGAAATTCTACGAGTAAACACTGAAGTTATAGGTAATATTTTCAAGATCTATGACTTTTTCGGCTCATTGTTTTTATATCCATAGTGCAACACTAACAAGAGATTAGATTAGATCCTTTGCTATAGGATTTGGCTATATGTCTGACAACGAAGAATGTAGTAACATTTACGAATCCAGAAAAATCTTTTCAGACGGAGCAAATCAAGTTTATGTAGACTACAGCATTTTCTTCGAGTTCTGAATTCATGCAACACTAAAGATTTCATAACAGCAGCCGCTTCATGTCTCAGCTATGAATTTGTCACAGAAGCGTAGGAAGGGCAGTAGCAATGTTTATCGCGTGCAAAATTGCACAATATTTGAGATTCACGTCAATGAATAATCTTATTGGTGATCGTATCCCAACTACTACTTAATCGGTTCTCATCTCAGAATTATTTTATTTTTTCTCTTGCAGTCTTTGTGAAAAACTCTGCATACAACAAACGAAAGATTACAATGAGGGGCAATCGACAAGGAATAGGTGAGGGACATCTGCCTGTTTGCCACAATTTTCAGAACACATATAGAAACTTACGTAAATACAACGCTAAAGCTTTTCAATTTGAAGTGGGCGAGAGTCGAACCAACTATTAGCCCATGCATGGGATTGGTATGTGAATTCTTGGGCTTTTTTAAAAACAGCACAAAATTTTTAATTTTATCAATCACAAGGAACAACAGCCGAACTTCAAACGTTTCGGAATGTCTTTCGATGTTGAATTGGGACAGAGAACAGCAAGATTGTCTGAAACAGTTCACCTTTCACTAGACAGCCTATGATTTTCTTCAAGTTTACTGAGTTCTGTCCAATTCCATTTCCAAACTTGAAAGGCTTGTTCAATCATTCAAGATTGAAAAAATTGTCTTGGAATGAGCAGATTTAGTTGTTATAATTCGCTTCTGCTTTGGGAATGGCAGGTTCGAATATCATATCAGAGTATTTGACTCATTTATAGTCCTTTGTACAGAAATTATTCATCGTCATCGATGGCGTCGATCAGTGAAAGCCTAGAACAAAGAAGAATTGCAGTAGCTCAGGGCCTCAATCGACTCGTCCATTTAATCGGCATGCTACTGAAGGAGAACTTCAAACGTTTACTACTTTGTTTGCCAGAAAATCGATTTATTTTTTATGCTACTGAAGGAGAACTTCAGACATTATTTTTAGAAAATCGATAAACCCAGAATCTAGCAAAATTTAGGGCAAAGCATAAAGGACGACATAAAAGCAGTGTTTTAAGCTGCTTGAACAGCTTTCATGCGTTCGTTTAGTGGGTACTAAAGCATAAAATCCGCTAATAATAAAACAATTACGATGCCGACAAATAATTCTTTTAAACTGTAAATATATGTCTTTTCTACGAAGATATTATGTGCGCGATCGTCAATTATGGATTTTATCTGGGAAAAAAGATTCCCTTACTGAAATCGAAAATGATATTTTGGCGTCTGACCAGTAACAAATCAATTTAATCGTGATTAGCTGATTAAGTTTTAAGACTCTCTCGGGATCTCGGAATAGACTTCCCTTAGGAACTGGTCCTTACTTTTCGCCTAGAGGAGGGAGGGGGGCGCGTTGTGGAAGCGGAGTTTTCATTTTTGTCGCAATCAAACTCACCTGATCCCCCCATAAGGCTCTTAAGTATACTAACGATCGCCCTTATTGGCAGTCAATTTTCCATAGTCCACTTTTGACTCTATCACAGAAGACTGATTCCCCCCTCAGCTCTCCTGAGAACCATGCGAAATCCTCCAAAACCCCCAGACGATAAAAAGACTGGTCCCTTAGCAAAAGTAACCCTACGAAGTTGTTATAATTATTTTAAATTTTATTGTTCTTGATCTTTTATTTTCAGGCGCTCGTTTATTTCATTCTGTATAATAACTTCTTTCCTTCAGGTTCTGTTATGTTATTTCTGGCACTTTCCATTCAAATTATACTATTAACGCACGCAGCCCCAATGGATTGCCAAAAGAACACTGCTGTCTGCTTGGAAGAAATAATGAAGGAAATGACCCAAGTTCGATTTGAGTTAAACATTCTCACTGAGAACAGAACATTAATAAGACGTAAGTAAGATTGTCATCGCTTTACCTGTATAGATCATTTCCATCTTCCTTTTCTCTTTATTAAATTAATCATTGCTTGGTGCAGAGTGAAAAACCTACGGAAGTCCTATAACGGCGGAATGGCGATTTCAATTTTTTTTACGTAATCAATATGCGGTTCTAGAGGGCAAAATTTTCTACGCAGAGTTCCATGTTTCAGTTTAGTGGCGATTCTTTACTCACGCGGCGATGTAGTGAAACATTTGCAAGGAAATGTTTTTCGGCGTATTGTCATCATCGTCTTTAACGTTATCATAATTTTAAAACATTCATTAAAAAAATCGATATAGAAGAGAGTTGGAGACGAGAGTTAAGTATGCAGGTATCCTTGAGCCAGTCAAATCGGACTACTAAGAAAGAATTTAGCCCTTTATAGTAATAACAAGTTATCCCATGTTCCCTTACAAAATTAAGAATTAAATATCACCTATGTTTTCTAAGTTTCAAAAATTGCCCGAGTCGCGCAATTGATTCTTGAAAACGTATGTGAGTATTATAAACCCTTAAATTTTATTGGCTCCCTGCGATTACCGAAACAAATTTTGACATAGCAAACTGTTTCAATTGTTGTAGTCCCAGGAGAGACAAACTCACGAAAGCGTTACCTTTAGATCCGAATCCGGAAAGCGCAAGGGACCAATCTGTTAAGGACATTAGCCTATTTAATTGATTATTGATTGGTTTAATTATTTCCCTTATCCTAGGTAGGAACATGGTTACAATGTTCATCTGTTTGTCTATATTTTTATTGGTTTTGGTCTGTTACATTTCATACATTTCAGTCTCGATCAGTAAAATAGCCCCCAAACACTGCGTTAACCGCGTCTTGGAGCGACATTTCTTGGAATCTTATGAATTAGATTTTTGGTCGCCGCAAGTACCAGACAATCAGATTACAGGATTCGGTTAAAAAATATTGTATTTATGTGTTATGAAGAATACAAGGTTTGTCTTCTTCTTGTTATGAAATGTTTACAGATTCCTCATCAGGTGGTATAGGCAAATCTATATACCTACCCCTTTTTTTAGAGTATGCCTATGACATTGAATACCTTTATTTTATATCTAAAAGCCACGGACTGTGCTGAGCTCTACAAATCCGGTAGAACGGTTAGCGGAGTTTATACAGTTGATCCTGATGGTTCAGGTGCTTTTAATGTATATTGTGACCAGACCACAGCCGGTGGAGGCTGGACAGTCTTCCAGAAGAGAATTGATGGTTCCGTTGATTTTAACCGAACCTGGGATGACTACAAACATGGCTTTGGCAACTTGGTGGGTGAATTTTGGCTCGGATTAGATAAGATAAACCGCCTGACGCAAAACAAGACAAAGAACAAGCTTCGAGTTGATCTGAGAGCAATTACCAACAAAATTGTTCACCCTGAGTATGATTGGTTTGGAATTGCGACCGAGACGAACAAATATCGGCTGTACATTGGCAAAATGACGACAAGTAAGTCATCGATCAACCAGTTTTTTAGCCATATTGTTCGAATTATATCTTTGCTACCCCTTCATCGGCAAAGGGTCCTCCTCGCCCCCTTCCCCCTCATCCTTCTCCTCGCAAACAACAAAGAGTGTTTTTTCCCTGCTCTTTACCGTTTGGCTATGTTTAGCAGTGAATCACATTCTTCTCATGCGCAGTTGAGTCCACACCCCTCCGTAGAAAATGGCAATTTGCTTTCGAGGTTGTTGGAGAGTGATTCCTTAGATATATTACGAAAAAGCAAACTCTGAAATTGAATTTAAAAAAAGTTACTAAAATCGTTTCTACCAAAATATTGTAGTTGTTGGATTATCTGACTTGCGCGCTCTTAACAAAATCACGATGTTTTGCTCCACCTCGACGCATGAAAGTCAATCAGTTATCATCATCGACGATTGAAAATAAAATTCATTCTGTTCATGTTAAGAAAAATCTGTTTCATCGAAGTAGTATGTCACTACTGCTGTCGAATTTTTTTGTTTTCTTGTCGGTCAAACATCATCCTTGAGGCTCCAAAAGGCATTAATCCAAGAGATTACACACTCTTGCGTAATGCTAAAATTATGCTACTATTTTTTTTTCGTTTGGTACAGATGCAACTGTTTGCCCTGATTCCCTCAGCCAACACAATAATTTCGATTTTGGTATCTGGGAAAGAGGTCCTGCAGATCGCGTTCAAAAAAGAGGCGTAGGCTGGTGGTATGATGAAGGTAGAGAAAATGCTGTTCACTCAAATCTTAACGGTATCTATCCGCTTTGTGGAAGTGAAACCGCGGCTGATATCCACTGGGGCCATTTAGCTCCAAAGAGGGGCGCCGCGGGCAGCGCTCCTAAATCATCTGAAATGAAAATTAGGCCAGTGGATTTCTTTTAGAGTTAACCATACACCCCATAAGTGAGCTGTGATTTTTGCTCTGACCTGTTACATCCTAGGTGTTAAGTGTGTAAGATTTCTCTTTTACTAATTTTTGATTGTAGAAGTATTAAAAAAAAAACTTCATACCGATCAACATATTCTTAAGGGTTCATTTAGAGTTATTCATCATGTACTTTAGGGGTTTTAGGGTGTTGGGTATGCATTAGATATCTTACCTATTTTGTTTTGACCTATGATAATATCAAAATAAGGAGATCAATTGGTCTAGCTTTCTTTAAAACGACCAAACCTTACTCCACTTTTAGATCACAACTAAGAAATTAGAATGTACTAATTTAGTCTTTTGTACAAGCATTAGTTCATGGAACAATTAGTTATGCTTTCGATTGATTTGATCTGTGAAAAAGGAGGCCAAAGCCTGTATTAGTTTAGTTGGTATACGAGCATATTTGATATTCTCTTGGTTGGCCTCTGGCTGAAATCCGATTAACAAATAAAAACTCAGTTCGTTTAAGGTTTAGAAAACCTCACACTTTATTTCTCTGTGTTGTATATTGATTAATTTTCTGCACTCATTAAAACTTAGTTCTTTTCCCAATTTTTGGCACTTTTTCAAATCCCTTCATTGTTCTCCCTCTTCATCACCGGGACATAGTACTCTAGACACGAATTTAGTAAAACTGACTGCTTCTGTCCTGGTTAGAGGTCCCTAGTATATGATATTATAAAAGAACCTTTTTTTTTTCCATTTGCAAACAAATCCAGGCTTTCTTTAATCTATGCAGACCACTCAGCTGAAATCACCAACCTATACGTAATAAATATGCTCAATGTAGCAAAGTAAACTATGACTAACTTCGGTGAACGCGTTCACAAGTCGTCAGCATATTGTTCGACGTTCAACCCCCACGTCCGAAATAAAACAAAATTTGCTTTGGAGTTTTGAATAGGAAAAAAAATGAATTGCTGTATTAACTCGATCATGCGCTGTACCATTCCCTTCGTCAGCCCATGCGCTCTGACGAAGGGCTTACGCTCCAAACATTTAGTATAGTAATTTGCTTGCATAGCAATAACGATCCCATTTTACACACTATTCATCCCTTTGATTGATTTGCTTTGTATAAATTATGAATCAAAAAATGAAAGTACTGCGAAACAAAAATGAGTTCGCTTATAGCTTGCTGTAGGAATTAAACCGTAGTATTTCTTAGTGGTTTTTTCTAATATTAATACTTAGTGATTTTTACGCATGGTGTTACAAAGATGAAACTTGAATCTTCCCAATCGTTGCTGTTTGGAAACATTAGAGAGCTTTTGCACAAGAATAAATGTTTCCTTTATTTTTTTTAATCTCTATTCCAAAAGCAAACGCGGGTCTACATATTTTATCTAAAGGGACAGCTTTAGAAATATGAAGAAGTGCAGCCATACGACCAGCTTTGTGCGCATAATCATTTATTTAATCAAATGGCCACGCGGAAATTAAACAAAATTTGCTTTGGAGTTTTGAATAGGAAAAAAAAAGAATTGCTGTATTAACTCGATCATGCGCTGTACCATTCCCTTCGTCAGCTCATGCGCTCTGACGAAGGGCTTACGCTCCAAACATTTAGTATAGTAATTTGCTTGCATAGCAATAACGATCCCATTTTACACACTATTCATCCCTTTGATTGATTTGCTTTGTATAAATTATGAATCAAAAAATGAAAGTACTGCGAAACAAAAATGAGTTCGCTTATAGCTTCCTGTAGGAATTAAACCGTAATATGTAAAAAATGAAAGTACTGCGAAACAAAAATGAGTTCGCTTATAGCTTCCTGTAGGAATTAAACCGTAATATTTCTTAGTGGTTTTTTCTAATATTAATACTTAGTGATTTTTACGCATGGTGTTACAAAGATGAAACTTGAATCTTCCCAATCGTTGCTGTTTGGAAACATTAGAGAGCTTTTGCACAAGAATAAATGTTTCCTTTATTTTTTTTAATCTCTATTCCAAAAGCAAACGCGGGTCTACATATTTTATCTAAAGGGACAGCTTTAGAAATATGAAGAAGTGCAGCCATACGACCAGCTTTGTGCGCATAATCATTTATTTAATCAAATGGCCACGCGGAAATTAACAAATGCAATAAAAGTAATTTTAGAAAAATTCAGCACGACCTTCTTTCTTAGCCCAGCCGCGACCACGCTCTATTTGTGTGGCAAACTGCCAATGTATCTCAGATATCATGCCACAACCATTCAAAGCATCGTACGACACACCTATTTTTATTGAAGCGGAATAATTTTCTTAAACGTAGACGCATGACAGTCTTAACCTTAAACATTGAAAGTGCTGCTATTACAACATCTATTCTACTTGTTTATCTTATCAGTCGATGCCTTCCTGAGTTATCCCATGATACATAGCTTCTTGTGATTACTTATGTGACTACAAAACAGTTCATCAGAAGACTTTTTGGGTTACCGACGTTGAATTTGTAATTTCACCTCAGCGGTTACAGGTAAGTTTTGCTAGTTTCCTGGTAGAAGTCAGGAAAACCCAGCTTAACTCAGCTCCCCTCGGCTCATACAATTACATATGCATTACTCATCTTAGCCATTTTTTCATCAATTCTCCTAAAGAGATTTCTGAAATCATTTGCTGCAGGGCATGTCACGAGTTTTGAATCAGGAATTTGTTAATGTAATTCTCATTACCGGTGTTATTCGTCAAAAGAGCAAGCTTATTCCTATGACATCCTTTTCACTGAGTTCGGCGCTACGCGTCTTTTGTGCTTCAGTAGTCGAAACTGCTCAAAAAAATTCTTCCATAAAGGGTAAAGGATTGATAAAATTTGTGTCGCATCTATAAGAAATGCTTATTTCGCTTGATGGCAATGGACCAAAATCACATGATAAATTGACTAGTCTTGCTGCCCACGCGGCAGCAGATAGGATTTTTCCGTTTTTCCGCTTGCTGATGACTCATCAGAATTTAACATCAGGCGCCGAGGAAAAAACAAGGTCTCGACTACCTCAACCCAACAACCAAGGTAGGATTTCTCAAGTAAGGAAAACATAATGCCCTTTCTTTTATCTGATCACTTAAAGAGCTTCAATGTTATAATTTCCCCTTCCGACGGAGGCCAGGGTGGTAAGTAATTTCTCATGTCATGGCGGGTAAGTCGGTTTTATTGTTTCCCTTACACTTGAGAAATTCAAGACCGGAGAGCAGAAAAAACGGAGACATGATAAAATCAAAATATCAGATTTTAAGATAAACATTTCAGTTCAAAATAAAGCAAAGACCTCCACCAGATTGTTCAATGTCCTACCGTCCCCAAATTAACACTGGCACTAAAATAAGAGTGATGCTAACTTTTGGGGGACTTGAATTTTTTTTCTGTCCCGCGCACACCCTCGCTTTTCTTTTCAAAATATTAAAATTGTTACGGTAAACATTCTTATCAAAATAAGACAACCAGAAATAGCCTTTGAGCTTTTAGCACTGACTATCTTTTGTGCTTTGTAAACATCGCCACTTATGGTAACATTACCTTCAGGTTTTGCGCCGCTGAGATCTGATGAAGAAGGAAATATTCTTGTACAGCCTACAGACATTAAATTATTATCTTGCAGTTGGTTTTTGCGGACTAAGTGTATATATTACTTATGACATTCTTTTCTCTGCATCCGGCGCTACGCTTCTTTAGTGTTTCAGTAGTTAAAAATTCAAGAAAATTTTTCCTTATGGGGTAAAGAACTTATACGATTTATTTCGCAGCTTGTGACCTAAAATGTGCTTCGTCGGCTAAACACAGGACCAAAAGCCACAACATCTCAATTTCCTCTCTGCGATCTGGGTTCCCACGTGGTGGCAGCTGGGACATCTCCCTAGCTTTTTACCCTTGCTAACGTCTCCATTGAACAAAATGAGCATCAGAAGAAAACAGAAAGAAACTCCACAAACATGGAAGAACTTCTTAAGTAAGAAAATCTAGTGCCATGTAATCGGATGTTCTCAAAAATTTTAAATGATCACCTAAAGAACTTCGAGGATAAAATGTTTCCGCGTCGCTTGAAAGCCCTCGGACATTTACCGTGTAAAGCTGTTAAATTCTCTTAAGCTGGAGAAGCCTTCATTGTGTTTCCTAATTGTTCTGTGTTTCGGCGCAGATATGGTGAAGTTTTGCAGCCAGAAACCCCAAATCATTCATTGCATAAGAAAAAAAAAACAAAAAAGTAGTCAGATGCTCGTGTAAAATCAGTTTATACCCACGATCAAATGTTAGAAAAGAATAATATAGAGCTACTCAGAACTCAGAAGCTTTTCTCTATTTGTTATGACTAGTCTTAATTTCTCAACCTTCCGGTAATTTAAGTAATTTCCTCATGCCTTTGAATAAGCTATTGACATTGTCAACAAAGCGGAGCGGTTTTATTGTTTCCCTTGCACTTGAAAAATTCAAGAACGAGAGTAAAAGAAACGGAGACATCTTCCTTCTGAGAACAGAAACAAATTTCGTTCGGAATTCTATCGATAGAGAGGAGTAATAGCGTGTGGAACAGCCTGTCTTAGCAATGAACTGGCAGCCAAAAATATGAAAGAATTTAATCGTGCATCAAATAAATTACACGCTAGCAACAGTCATATTAAACATGGACTTTGCTTATGAATAATAACAAAATTTTTGTTTTAAAATTTGAAGGCGGGTAAATCAAGTCAAGGTCGTAGATCTCTAGGACCACAGTTTAAGTTTCATAGACACTGCATTCGTAATTAGATGCAAATTATTGCAAACGAACGTTATTATTTTAAATCCACGACTCCACCAGCTATGCTGACAAACCCCATCGCTAAATTAAAAACAAATATTTTAGTTAAAAATAAAGCAAAGTCCTGGACCCGACTGTCCAAAGTCCTACCGCCCCCAAATTAACAATGGTTCATAAATAAGAGTCATGCTAAATTTTGGTGGGACTTGTAGTCCCCTCTTAAAGCTGATTGTCGAGAGTGAATCAATAAACAAGCATGTAAGACCGCTCATGTGAAAAAAACAGCGCAAACACATTTCGCTGCATTACATTTAAATTCACTTACTTGACCTTGATAACGCGTCGAATTTTTTCCGATTCAGTGCCTAATTCGTGACCCCATGCATTTGTAATACTTCTTACACGTCAATATTTTCACAGTGCAGTCCGCCCTAGGTAAGAGGTCTTCATAAAAAAAAAAGAATTTTACTCATAAAGTCGGTATCAAAAACTTAACTTTATGCAGGAAAACTCTATTATTACCTTGAATGGCGCTTTTGCCTGTGAGTTCATCATTTCTAGTGAGTTTGGCGATTACACAAAACAAGATCATAAATGGTGCCCTCAATTTTAATTAGCAGTTTGGATGATTCTCGTTTTACTTGGACCATGAAGTACATCTACTGAAACATTGAAGGTGCTAAACATCCTAATTCCGGCGGTTTCAATTTAATTTTGAGGTTTTAAGAAGAAGATTATTTCGCAATTTTCTCGACCTAAAATAGGTAGCTT